CTAATTCTCTTCTGCTTCACTCTCAGATTTGGGAAAAAAATCCCTAGCCAATAGCTCTTTCTCTCCTTCCTCACCTTAGTCCTCCATCATCTCCCTCCGCCATCAAGGTAGAGCCTTTACGATTAGTTGTTTTTTTTTTCTGATTCACTTCCGTAGAGGTTAGTTGTTTTTTTTTTTTTCTGATTTAGTTTTTTTCTCCATTCCAACTATTGAAGTTCATTCAGGCAAGAGATTTGGTTAATTGGTTCTACCAATTACAAAGTAAGAGTAATTGGTTAGGGTCAGGTTGAATTTTGGTTTGATTTGGTAGAATTTTGCTTTGGATTTTGATAATTTAAGATGTATGCAACTTTAAGTAAACGACATTCTATCAAAAAACTTTTAAGCAAATGACAAGAGAAAATATTGCATTCATATTGTAAGTAATGGCTATTTTTAAATTTATGAGATAATCACTGCTTGTTATTAAAGAACTAATTTAACTTCTTTCTTTTGAGTGTGTTTGACTCCTTAGATATGTTGCCAGCTTGATCAACAAAGATGCTAAACATTTGGATATGTTAACTTCTTGCTTCATATGACATTTATAGAGCTGAAATATTCTAAGATTGCACAAATTAATACATAAAACTCGACCAAATTAAAACTATGAATAATATGGTTAATGTATAAGTTGTTAGGGCTCTGTTTTATAGAGTAGACAACGTAATCTCTGGTACAACGTAATCTTAGTAACCTGATGGTCACCGTCCTGATTACCAAAATTGAAAACTGACTGAAACTGAAGTTTGGTTAACCGAACCGAATAATGCTTTATGCGGTTCAGTTTCAGTGTCTGATTTTAGAAAACTAACATGGTCGGTTCGGCCACTGAACCGACCAAAACCAGTGGTTTTTAACCGCTAAACACCCATAAGTGGAACACTCTGTTTGAATCGTTAGATTAAATTCTCAACGGTTAAATCTATGCAGATCTATATTAAAAATTTACAGCAAACCGCACAGAACTGCTCCCTCTGCAGATCTAGTTGTTAAAAAAAGTCATCCAATGTCCAAAACAACGTGATCCACCGGTGACTTTTTAAGGGGTCTCATCATAAAGAAAACTAATAAATATTAAAGTTTTTTAAATTAGAGAAAAAATAGGGGATTCTCTGATAAGAATAAAAAAATGAACTCTTAGTAATCTTCTATTTTCACTCATCAAATTTGTATCAAAAACTGTATGTTTTGTATACTTTTTCAAACTAATATGATTTTAATAAGAATAAATAGTTAGAAATTGACACTATCAATAGAGACGCTCTACCAGAAAAAGTCCATCTTTCATTTTTTTTTTTGTTTTGTTTTGATAGCTTGCTATCAAAATTTTCAATTTTGACATTTTATTCAAAAATAAGAATCATTGTGATTCATTCGATTTTACTGAACAATATTTATGAATGAAAAAGTATGACACCTTGTGCAAGGACGAAAAAATGCACTTCCGATAAAAAAATTACAAAATTAAAAGTTCGTGTATTTTAGGATACCAATCTTTGGTAACACCTCTCTGGTGTCTTCTCTCCTCTCTATCTCTGCGATATCGCCTCCTCTGATGCCATTATTAAGTTTTTTGGGGCCACAATACATTCATTTCACAACGTTGGCAAAAAGCATTCATTCCACTGCTCTCGCTATTTGCATTGTAAGACATGCATATATGTTTAACCTTTCTTGGAGTTGGGACTTATCATTATCATCATCATTATTATTATTATTATTATTATTATTATTATTATTATTATTATTATTATTTTACATAAATGGATATTATATGTTGCATTTCTCAACTCTGTTTTATATTTTAATTACTTATGCAATTTATAATTGCAATTTACACCTTTTTACCCTCAATTTACAACTTTTTAATACAACCATGTGAAAAATAAATTATTGGTACATGGTTTATAATCTTTCAGAAGAGATTCTACTATTTAAAGTACAAACTTAGAAGAGAAAAGGAATACCCCTTATAAACATTTTGAAGTTGAAGGTCCAATTTTACAAGGTCCAACCGAGAACCTTAATTCAACCTAGTCCACCCCAATAATTCAGTACTAATTTTAACTATTTTTGGCTAACTTTTCATTAACCCTAGCAATTTATTTCATTTCTTTTAATTTAAATCACTTTCAAGTGGTATAAAATCTATATTACATTTCATTTGTATCTAAATTTCCAATCATTCAATTAATCACCGATTAACTCTAGTTAATCAGTGATTAATGATAACTCGATGAAATAGAGTTATTTAGCATACTTTTACGCTTAGTAGTTACTTATTTTCTCAAGGTAAAATGCCTTAGTGTTAGTATTTCGTATAACATTAGTTAGTTTTTGTTTAGTTGGTTAAAGGTTGATATTTGTAGAACAATCTCATCATATTATGGATTTAGTCCTCATATTCATTGAAAGTGTGTTGACTTTGGGTGTATAGTGCAGGAAGTCCAAGGGCAGCGTCGGTGAAAGCATTTTGAAAGAAAAGCATGGCAAAAAAAATGAAAGCAGGAATGCACCCGATCCTGTTGTTTGTATTTTCTCTCTGTGAACAAATGGATATGGTTGTTGATATTATTTCTGATTTCTTTGAACTAAACATGTGCTAAAATTCTTTAGTTAGGATTATTGATGGAACCAAAGTTGTAATTAAGATTTATTTGTTATTTTGATCGTTTGTGTGATTTTCATCCTATTTATTCAAGTGTGTTTATTGTATGATTTTTGTTAAATGACAGGCCATCATTTAGTGGAAAATATAAACTAGAATTAATTCTGAAAAGGTTAGTTTTACTTAGATCTATCTTGGATAATATAAGGGAATAGTATAGGAATATATTATTGTCTTGTACGACCCATTAAAATTGGTGTTTAACTCCAGGTTTTGAAAACTAGAATGCATAGGAATATGTTAATTCTGGTTTAAGGAGTTATAGGCATAGATCTGTCGGAAGATGATTATGTAGAATTTTAGGTTGACTAGATGAACTTTGTTACAACAATCCTATAGCAAACGTGGTCAGAGTTGCAACCGAGAGAAAATCAGTAATCCTAGCCCTTACCCATCATTGATTTACAGCTTGTAGCTTAGATCTTGTTAAGTCTTGCCTCTTGTTTGCATTTCAATCACACCCATTTACTTTACTCATTCATTTTACTTAATCCACATCAATTTGGCACTCGATTCACTTTCGATTATTTTAGTACAACTGGTTTTTGTAATCAATTTCTTATTAATTCAATTCCTGTGGAGACGATACTCTTACTTACTGTATTACTTGTTCGATTACGTGCACTTGCGTAGAGTTATTTTCATGCATAGGGTTTTTAGCGAACAATTAACCATATCCGATTGTTAGTGATTAATTCTAGGTAATCAATGATTAACTATATACGATTGTCTGGGGTAAAATTGTCTTTCTATTCATTTAAAAGAAATGTGTTTCAAACTTTTCTACAGAAGTGGAGAATTGAATGACACTACCACAGAAGTGATTTTTTCCTAATTGACCCTTGACTTTAGTCCTTTGGCGGTGCCCAAATAGCCTAACTCAACCCAGTGTTAATGAGGCCTAACCCATCTTCACTATCTTCACTCACATTCTTAAGAACACACCATTTTCACATTGGTAAAAAGGCCATTTTAAAGAGGAGTCATAAACATTTTAATGAGACCAAAATACCCTTTTACCATCATGAAAATGGTGTGTTCTTATGAATGTGAGTGGAGAAAGATAAAATGAGTAGGAGAGAAATGTAACTTTGGCTTATGTTTATCTTTTTACTGTATGGAAATGATATTTTGGAAACTTTCGAATGCAAGTGGTATGTTAATATTTATCCGTTACTAATAGTATTCTACAGATTTACCCCTTATTTTTTTTTTAAATATTACCTTTAAAAATTTTAAAATTTTACACTTAAACCCCCACTAAAATAATATATGCCCCCATTAAAATAAATATATTTTTTATATGTCTCTATTAAGATAATTGATTAAAAAAAATGTGTTCGCCTCTATAAAGTGAAAGGTTGACTCCGCCATTGCTCCTACTTGGTGATCAGATGAATCAATTGTGAGCCATATTCAACCGATGAATCAATTATTTCCACGATATTCAGACTTGTTTATGTAACCTTATATATGCACAAACAAAGAGCGTGAAAATGTAAACCCCCGATAAACACCATGATAAGTCTACTTTCCCCACATGATTGCCTTAAACTCCACAATCAGGTAAAAACGAGGCTTACATCCATTTCCAGAAAGAAAAAAAAAAAAAGAAAATGGTTTACTCGATGGGATTCATTCACGTTCCAAACTCATCTACCTTGATTTTGAATTAAATCTAAAAAAATATTGAGGCTAATATTAGTTTTTAATGTGTCGGAAAAATGGTATCATTGTCTTTCATGTTTTTTATAGATTAATTATCATATAATTTGTGTGCACTCTTTTTTTTATATGATTAATCTATAAAAAAAGTTTTTTCAATTTTTTTTTTCCCTTTTTAGAGCAATATTAACTCAGTGCACTCAATGGAAAAGAAATTCTTCCAAAAAGACCGGATGAGAAGATCAAAATTCAGAGATTTAACAACCAAAGCATCAAACTTTAATGAAGAATTTTGGAAAACGAAAAACCTACATATATATGCTTAGAGCATCAATAATACAATGTTAAATTGAGTTATGTTTGTTTCACAACTCAATTGAAACAAATATAATCTTTGTGAGAGAAAAACAAACATATATGCTTAAATTGAGTTATGTATATGAGAGAAAAACATTGTAGTAAAACTGTTGAATTGAATTTTTATAAAAGAAAACACTGTAATATTAGAACTTGAGTTGTGAAAATAACGAGGTAAAAAGTTATTTCACGCTAGTCTAGAAAGGCAGCTAGATCTATTTGTCGACAATATCTTCGAATCAACCTTCAATCTCCACATATAAACTCGTCAGAAGTTTTGAGTAGAAGAGAAATCGTGCCTGAAAATGATCATAATTAATTGTGACCGTCGACCTGTACGAAACATTTAACTTAAAAAATTTTCATTCGACACTAATTGAGAACTGGTAATCTACTTTTTTTTTTTCTTTTGAGAAAACGTGATCTACAGTTTCAATCATTAGTCATAATTAATTGTGTTCAATGTATGATAGTAAGACAACTTAACTTATAAGCTAAATGTATATTTCAAATAAATTGAAAACTCTTGGTCTACAATTTCAACTATTGACAAGCAAGATCTACTTATAACTTACTGAATTTTAGTCTAGCAAAAAAAAATAAAAAACTTACTGAATTTTACGTGCAAGTTGATATCCAGCAGTTGCAGCCATTCCAATGCTGCTGCTGAAAAGGTTCCAGTTCTTCTACAAATCCAATTTGTACAATATTCCATTAGGAAAATCTATGATGAAAAGCATAATTTCTTAAAACATAATGAATTTGATACACAAAATATTGAATTCGATGTGTTGGGACAGAAATAAATTACTGGTGTGACAACTGTGCTGTATTTTGCCCAAACAAGTGCACTACCGGCAATGGCTGCTGGCATACAGGGAGAATTACATTAAAAATAGGAGATAAGTATTCCCCTAATTAACTACTAATAATAGTTATAAAACTTGAAAATGTTACAAAGTGATTTTCACTGGGCTAAAATCAAAACCAACTATTATAAAAATAAATAAATAAATAAATAAATAATAAAAGTGAAAATTAACCTGCTTGCTGTGGATAAGATAGTTCTTCAGGCGACTTTGAAGAATCGAGAAGATTTGCAATGATTACGCCCCACTTAAAAGTTGGTGCCCAGAAGTGAACTATAATATTAACTACTATCAATGTGTAATTGATCATGAAGTTTTTATTTGAAAAACCTTTCGAAAATGGCAATTATATGATATACTAGATTATATACATATAAAAAACCATAACAAATTCTGTTGCAAGATAGATTTTCATACACTTATAATAATTAATTTCAACTAATAATCTGTATGCAATAATCGATCTCAACTTAAAAAGATTGTGGTTGTGCAGCTTGACAATCGTCAATTTCAATTTAGAGTTAAAAGTTAATTGCACGACCGCAATTGAAATATATATATAAAAAAAAAATGATAATTTAATAAACCAACTTAATTTTCTCCAAGAAAAGCTTTTCGAAAAATACTACAAGCTGATCGATGAAGGTAATAAATATGCAATATCATCTGGAATGTTGGCTTTTAAGAAAAGTAACCTTAAGTAATATTTCCAAGCCAAATTATAAAATTAGATGATCAATAATCCGTGATGATTAGCAAAAAAAAAACGTTCAGAAAGAAATAAAGAAATATTGTGTAGGCAAAGATCGTGTAATCAACTAAGAAAGAGAGAATTTTCTGCCAAAAGAAAACAACTAAGCAAGAGGAAAAAGGACTTATGTTTTACAGAACAGAAAGTTGAATTATAAATCGGCAAAAAAAAAAAAAAAAAAAAAAGGAAGAATAATATTCAAGATAAATTAAGTTTTAGGGCCGGCTGGATGGCTCCAAAGCGCCAGAATCTTATTAGTAGCTGCCATATTAATTGAAATTGATCTCTCTTCTAATTGTTGTCTCTCCCGTTGACAAGGAATATGGAGTAAATAGCTCGCGAAAAACTTATGAGAATAATTTGGTGTTGTCTACATGTATATATTAGTGTGTAACATCACTATGATAATATATATTATCATTATGAATTGATCACAACTTAGGAGCGTTTGGAACCATTTTTAAAAATGTTTTTAACATTTTTCGAGGAGCAAAAAATGAAATTGGTTTGGAAACTACGTTTGGAGCAACCTTTATTAAAAAATAAAACTGAAAACGCGTTTTTTATTTCCCCTAAAAGCGCGAACTTTCTGAAAACGACCCTTTTGACATTTTCATTTTCTATTCCTTTTCTTTTCTAAACTCTCATCTCTCCTCTCTCACAACAAAAAACCCCTCTTCTACTGGAGCTCATATATGGGTTTAGTTATATATTAATTATTAGTATATTAATTGAGGAGTTTATTAATTATTTACTATATTACTTAAAAAACTATGAGATGTTTTTAAAAATGTATAACCAAATACGGTTTCAGTTTTTTCATATACTGAGAACAATATATTAATAAAATTATCAAACGTATTTTTATAAACGATTCCTATACGAATCTTAAAATATTCTCATTTCCATTTTCATATCCAAATTAAAATAATTTTAGAACAAGTTCTAAACACGTCCTTAATTTACGCATTTGAGTCCTATTAAAATTTTTTTTTTGCTCATTTGACCTTTAAATTTAGTCTCTCTCACACACACATATACTTGTATATATAGTTGGTATGTAACTGTTTAATGCATCATGAATGATGTATTAAGCTGGGATTTCTTTAATCAATATTGACTAAATAGACGGTGTTTGTTTATTGTTCCCTCAGTTAATTAGATAATCCTTGAAAGAGATGAAAAAAGTTAGAAAACTTGGAACTCCAACTATATTGACACCCTCTGGAAAACTTGCCCGGAATCAAGACCCCTACTCTGATTTATTAAAGAAAAGAAAAGAAAATTAAAAAATATGTCAAGATGTTACAAAGCAAGAAAGTTGATAAAGTAGTAATCATCCTAGCTAAGGAAAAAATAAAATGAAATAAAATAATAATAAAAATTAAAAATTAAAAAATATCAACAAAAAAAAGATTAAAAAAAAGAAAGAAAATAAGCGTTTTTGGCAATGTATTTGGAAAGAAATATTGGATTTGAACAAGTACACATACAAACGATACTTTAATAAAACTACACTACTAGATTTAATTAATTAGGCTATTAGTAATCTCTCTTGTTAATTTCGTGTGTATGTTATCGGACATCAATATGTATTTCACAAAAAGCTGAATATCATAAATAGGGACCCCATCGAGTTATTCTCAATGTAACCATGCATACATTATACGAAAAGAGTGTCTACGACGATATAATCTGCTTAATTAATTTGTAACACAGATCAATGAATGACTTGCAACTTGATATTGGAAGAAGATCCTGTAAAACTAGCTGGTAGTTCAAACTAAAAATTGAAATTAATTCTAGATCTGGCACTTATCTAATGGATAATAACCCAACATTAATGAAAAATAAAATTACGACAACAAGAATCATCATAATGTGAAACAAACGGAAAAAAAGAAAACAACAAAACAAAACTAGACACCCCCACTAGCAAAACACATAGCATATATATGATCGGCCTATATTTAGACATATATTTCTTAGTAGACGTTTGGTTCATGGATTTAGAACCATGATTAAGAACAATTCTCGTTTTACGTGTGTTTTTTGTGAGAAAAAAACACTGTAGAGAACCATGAATTATGATTCAAAATCAGAGACGAATACAAAAAACAAACATCCCCTTAGTGTCCCAGTACAACGACACCTTCGTTGAACTGATCCACATCCGATTCTGATGCATCATCGTCGTTGGTTAGGGTTTCCAATTTGGTGGCCTTGCCTGCCGATGTGAGAGAGACTTTAACTTGGTCCACAACCTTGTAAGTGTCGTCGACATCCTCGTCCAAGTCCTCGTCGTCGTCATCATCATTGTCTTGGCACTGGTTGCCTTTCTTGGGATCCAAACCGCCCTTACACCCGTGTCTAACGGTGTGGCTCACCGTATGAATCTCGGGGAAATCCAACGACTCCTCCTCAGCCTCTTCGGCAGAAGCTGAGATGAAGAACAACAAAATGATTCCTAGGCAGCACAACATAACAGTTCCTCTAAACACCGCCATTGTGTTACAATAATATATATATATATATGAATAATAATGAAGGTTTTGATCTTGAGAGTTAAATTTTGTGTTTTGGTGAGTATGTTAAGTGCAAAAGAAAGTTATGGAGAGAGTTTGGGTTTTAAAGATATCATTTACTATTTTAAGGTTTGAGGAACGAAATGTGTGTTTGAGTTGAGCTAGTCTTAATGCCGGCTCAAGGATAAGGCCATTAAGGCAACTGTCCAAGGCTCTCCTTAAGTCAAGGCCCCTCATTATTAGGATCATTAACTAATTACGTTAACTAATTACTTTTATACCTAAAAACATTTTGCATTTCAATTAGCATTCTTTTCTTTAAAAAAAAGGGTATTTTTAGGTATTAGTTTAATTCCGGAAAACTCGTGGAACAAGAACTATTATAACAAGATGTTTGTTTGTTTCTATTAATTTTTAATATTGATTATTTTTTGCTCTTCTAATATTGAATATTTATCTTCTCAAACGTCTCTTGTAGCATATTTGATATTCTTTTTTAAATATCCTATCATCCTCTTTTGAACAACTATTTAATCGAAAAACAAGAACAGAAGAACAAAAAAATCACTTAAAGCTTAAAGAATACTTTTTCAATATTAGAATATAAATATATTGTTGGCTCACCTCTAAAAACTTAAGTTATTAAAAAGTGGGCTAACAATAGTTTTATATTCTAATTCAATACTTTATAAAGTACAATTCTCTCTTCCTTACTTTTCTTCTCATCTCTCCTTAAAAATTCTAATATAGTATCAGAGCCCATTGTTTAAACAAGCTAGGTCGATCCATAAAAAAAAATACAAGATTGGTGACCCCTAACGAGCACCATTTTGCGGGGCGTGTTAAGGGTAAAAATACTCGAGTCTCACATCGTCTAAATATAAACAAAACCATAACTATATAAGGATATATGACCACCCTACTTAAATAAGTTAACTATCTTACGGGGACATGTTCAGAGAATGGAATGTTGCATTTTATTTTATTCTTTTTCCCTTTTTTGCTGAAAACATGGTCAAGGTGTGTTGTATGACTCATAAAGTAGTTGAGATTTTTAAGGAATAATAAAAAACTTAATTCCATAATGACTTTTATTTGTTAAAAACTAAATGGAT